TTCTATGGCTTATGAAAAGATTGCAGGTTATCTAAAGCCAGAAAAATATTTTTAAATTATAAGAATGATTTTCTTTCGGGTAATGATGGTGTAGTGATACAGGTCTTATAAATTCATCCATAGCTTGGTTATAAAAGGTGAAGCCATAGAATTCCGAAGAGGGAAGTATAACGAGCAAATCTGGAATTGGAACTTGGCTCTCTCTTTAACAATTCCGAGCTATTAACTATTATAGCACTCACAAATCCAAGCCTTTGATCTAAAATCTTTAAGAAAGCCTTGATAAACCAATGGCATCCTCGCTTTTGTATATAAACACGTTCGAAAAAAAATATCGTACATTGTGTCAAACGACGAAATGTGTCGGGTTGGAATGGTTACGAGAGAAAGAGAGAGACTTAGATAGATAGATAGATAGATAGATAGATATGAGTAGACTTAGATTTGAACATTAATATACAGACATTTGAACATAAAAAATAGATAGATATTCGCATGCATTCATTGCAATCGAGACTGCCCCTTCCTTGTGTGACCGTGCAGCCGTAACAAATGCCGCATTGACCTCAGCAGCTGAGGCATAAAACGCCAATTACAAGTTTTTTTTTCGAAACTGACAGACGTCACAAAAAACACACACACACACACACAACATATATATATATATATATATATATATATATATATATATATATATATATATATATATATATATATATATATATATATATATATATATATATATATATATATATATATATATACAGTATAACCCGGATATAAGAGAGTTGTCGGGACCGGAGAAGAAGTCTCTTATATCCGGGTTTGGTCTATTATATACATTAACACAGGCTCTAATTTGGGACCAGAAAATCTCTCTTAAATCCGGGTTTCTCTTATATCCGGGTTACACTGAATATATATATATATATATATATATATATATATATATATATATATATATACAGTGACAGAGGGAGAGCAAGAGAGAGAAAGAGAGAGAGAGATGATGGAGATGGATAAGAGAGAGGGAGCATTTAATTCGATTGGAAATGTTATATTGTATGGAAATAGATTTCTAAAAGTTTTGCCTTTATTAAGTAAGTTCAATGCCATCTTTTTATTCTATCGCACTTCTCGCTTGTGGAACTCTCTTCCGGCTTTTCGGTTTCCAGACAATATTGACATTTGAAAATTCAAATGCAATCTCAGTCATTATGTAATGTCTTCTAAATTCTTCTTTTATTGTTCTTTCTTCTTATTCTTACGCTTTTATCCTATTCTCTAACACTCAGTCATTCCTTGCATCTTAGTAGATTTATTACCTTACTTAGGGTGAAATTATTAAAAAAAACAAAACAAATCTCTTCTGTTTAAATGTATATCCCAGTTTGTTAATATCTATCTATCTATCTATGTCATTTTAACACCACTCATATTTATCTGTTTTTTTTTTCTATAGTTGACATTTCTAGATGTAACGGTAAGTTCCCTTGTAAAAATATCTTCTATCGGACATCTCACTTGTGGAACTCTTTTCCGGCTTCTGACTTCCCAATCAATATTGATCTTCCAAAATTTAAATCCACTGCCAATCTTTATCTTCTATATCCTATTTACTTAATTCTTGTTCTTTTATTGTTCTCTCTCATTTTTAGTGTTTTTCCTCATATTATGTAACACTCAGAAACCTCTTAGTGAATGTATTGTCTTGCTTGGAGTGAAACCTCAGTCTGTTCAAAGGTATACCTCACTCTGTTAATATCTATCTATCTATCTATCCATCTATCTATCTTAAAATCTATTTATCTATCTATCTCTTTTCACATTTGAGATGGTTAGATGAACCGTAAGTTCTATGCTAACAGTATCTTCGATTTGACATCTTGCTTGTGGAACATATTCTGATTTCTTGTTCTTGTTAACCTTGATCTATACAAATTTAAAAGGAGACCCGATCGTTATCGTATGTTTTCGTAATTGTTGTTTTTTATCTGTCCATAATAATGTTTATTTTTCTCATATTATCTAATGATAGAGCCTCTTGGTGGCTTTACTGATTTGCTAGGTGTGAAATCTCACTCTCTTTAATTATATATATCAGTCAGTTAATATCTATCTATCTATCTATCTATCTATCTATCTATCTATCTATCAGTTGACAGTTCAAATGTACCCCTCATATCTATCTATCTATGGATTTTTACAGTTGAAATGGTTAGATGTAACCGTAAGTTCTACGTTAACAGTTTCTTCTATTGCACTTCAGTAAATGGCACCTTAAGAAAATCATAAATCGGATTGAGCCTGGTGAGTGGAATTTCGGAATTATTTAGAAGTCTTTGATTGTTGTGCTAGCAGGTGAGTCTCAAGCCATCGTGGCTAAGAGTTTGAGCGTACTTCCAGATCACACGCACTCTTCCAGAAATTTCCGCTCCGCATAATCGTAGTATAAACCTCTCGAAAACGAGAAGTATCTGTAGTTTTAACATAACTAACATATATCTATCCCCCAGACTAGCCTGCTTAACGTTATATGAATGATTTTCAATTGGGAAGATAACCCTGTGAAAGCAATGGAGCAGTCAAGTGTCCGATGATTTTAAAAAATCCTATGAAACCGACTTGAAACAAATCCGAAATTTTTGTTTAGCTTTTTTTCTAAATACTTACATTTTTATACTTATTTTAAACATGTACCTGCTTTTGTAATATGTGTATAGAGCCAAAACCAGGAAGTTAAATACCGCCGAATACTACGGTCTGACGCAGTGACCGTTGGATTGGCTGTTTCCGCCATATTTTATTTCCGGTGATTGGTGCTGCTATGATGCAACAATACGTGTGTCATTACCTCCGCTGCATTAATTTGCCTACATTTACCGGCGGGGTTTTAACGCAAGAGCAGCCAGCCCGTAAAGATATCAGGGAATAGGGTGCAGCGAAAAGAAAAGCTTAAGAACATTTGTGAGAAATACAAGTGCGACAGAAATACATCCCTCATATAGCCACCCAGTAATATTTGCAACGTAGTGGCAATGGTGTCTTCATATCTAGCTAATGTCTTACCATTATGTGGGAAGTATTTCTAGGAGGTATATATTGGAGGTATTTATGCTGCACCTTGTATATAAAGTCATTTTTTTAAAGAACTTTGATAAAACCATGAATATATTTCTAAGATTGTACTCCCCTTTACAAATCTCAAAATAGAACGTATTTAGTTCTGAAGTAATCGGGTCATGTGCATGTCTGCCTGCCTTAAATGTGGCTTGCTGTAGTTAAATCAATTTTTCGGGGTTTATTTTATTACATTGAATTACTCACATTGTTCGTATGGCGTTTTGTTTAGGAACCAAAAATAAGATGTCAACTTTCAGTGTTTTATCATCCCCATACTATGAGGTCATTCTCATTAAGTTACAGTTGGTAAGGCCAAAATCAGTTCCACATGACTTTGGCTTTCCAAATTCCAAAGTTAATTTCTCGACCTACTCTTTTGAAAATATATATGCGCCGTCCGGAATAATTTTGCCGGTGGGAATTTTTTCAGTTTATAAAATACCCAGAACTATCAAACAATCGTAATAAATGGATGCTCCCTCAGGGTGATGCAATGACTTGATCGCGTATTAGGACTTCAATTCAACTCGGACCTCAGGTGCAATTCGTACATACGATTCATCGCTATAGATGCCTAAAAAATGTCCAATTCCCTGTAGCTCTCCAGCAAGTACCTGACATCTGGTGCTATCGTCTACCTTGACAAGTGCCAGATCAGACCAAAAATAAGGCACTGCTGTCAAATATGGACAGGAGCTACGAATTCTTCACTTTCTGGTCTTGATATTGTCCAAAAGTGTCCCCGCTGTCAAATTATTTTCTATCCTGCAGCTTTTTTATCACAGATGAAACGCCGTGAAATTTTCTCTCTATTGTTATTTCCGTCGTAAGAGTTTAGGCGAACTACATTTCTTAGTTCCACTAATTATAACCTTCGTATTTCATTGGAGATTTCCCTCTAGCATCTTATTTCCACCAACCGAATACCAAGAGGGTGCTTCCACGATCGCTACATTCTTAACCTTTTTAAGAGTAGAGTTATCCATTATCTTCCTCGTATGAACTATGCCTCTTACTTTGTAACTTCTAGCTCGAGTGCTCCCAGCCATGGCAAAGGGTGAACTTCCTTGTAAAAAAATAGAAAGAAAAGCGTACTGGTTTAATTATTGGGTGAATTATCTTTTAACTTTTATATTCAACGATAATTCTTCTGCCACCATTTAATTTAAAGACACTTTAATATACGTAGGTCCTTAATTTCCGTACGAACAATTATTTTTATTTCATCGGTGACTTTCACTGGGTTTCGCAATTAATTTCGATTATTTCCAAATTTATTTCTAAGTTATAGAATTGTTATCGTACAAGAAAATTTGTCGCAAATAATCACGTAGAAAAATCGCCGAAATTAATCGCTTTAATGAAAACTTGGGAATCAAAAATGTCAAGATTTTTGGTCCTGAATAAATGCAGAACAAAGTTAATCATGAGAAAATTATTTGAAGAAAAATAAACGTACCGAGGATCAAAGGTATTAATTTTTTTTTCTTGCCGGCATTTTGTATTTTATCAGCTAATGGTAGGGGAGATAATTGCATTTGAGACTTTTAGTCGAATTCTTCTCCCGTGAAAGATCGAGATAAACACGTCTATCTGTTAAAACAAGAAATTTTCTGTTAAATCAATCGACAATGGAAGAATATTTGTTGTACAAAATGAACGATTTCCATGATTAAGCTGTAGAAATATAGATATATTTTCTCATATAAACATAACAAACTGTTTCTTTATTATCAACGGAGAAATCTCCATCCATTTTGATAATGAAGAACTAAATGGACTGACGTTCTTACATACTTACAAGTGGTTTTTAGTTTCAAGTTTGACTCGAATAACTATTATGATACAACGAACAATTTCGGCGAGAGATGTTTGCCATGAAATTGAGCTATAACAAGTAGCAAAGCCAACAGTCTGTCAGCTATTACTAATGACGACGAGTAAATGATGATTGCTTCTCTAACCAAGTTAGAAGACGCCCCCACCCCGCGTCAAAATCTGATTTCAATTGCGTAATTAAAAGTCGAATAACAAATCATGCCAGATAATTTTCTCGCCAGAATCCATCACACACGGAATCCATCTTGCTCATTTAAAATCTACTATTCGTCCGTACATTGAATATTACAGCCATATCAGGTCTGGAATTGCTGCTAAATGTCTCGATATTTTCAACAAAATCCAGAGAATCATCTGTCATGTTACCGACCCTGACCTGGCATCTAGACATTAATTTTTCCCCCTCCACAATAGTTTGGTTCCCCTCTTCTTTTTCTATGAATTTTGTCATAGCGTTTATTCTAATGGGCCTCTCCTCCGTGGTATCTCGAGCGCATGAATTTAAGCGCAGTACTAGATTGGTAACTAGGTCCCATCGTTTTACCGTTGAATTAGCTAGATTTTACCTTACGTGAAACTCTCTTCCTGTTTCTTGCCTCTATGTCACCTACGATCTTCAAAATGTCAAATGAAAGTCAATCGCCATTATCTTTCTTCCTGGATCCTTTTCTTATTTTATCATTTCTCCTCATAAGTCTTCTCTTTCTCTTTTACTCACAGTATCCGCTGGCGTCTTAGTAGCATTATTGGTTTGCTTGGGCTGAAATAATTTCAAAGAAATAGACGACTATACAGTAATACCTATCCCAGAACCACTCTCGACTTAGGACCTCATAAAGCGACGACACTTATAGGATAATCGAATAGGTTCCATCTATGGGCAAATAATGACCCACCTCACACAAAACACTATGTAAGTGCAAAAAATCATTTTTATATTAAAAATGCCAGTAATATATTTTAAGACATTTTTATGCTCATACGCTATTTTTATAGATACAAATATTTAAGTAAATGCTCTGTTTGTAATAAACAGTATTAACAACATTTACCGGCCTGAATGTCCGAGAAATTT